CCCCCCCCCCCCCTTTCCTCCCCCTCTCCTCCTCCCCTCAAGGGCCCAAAAGGGCCGGCCCAGCTCGCGGTGTGGCGTAGTATCCCATGCTCGGTCGGTAGTATCAGCGTCCAAGATTCACGACCTTTTTTCCCCCCTCCCCCCCCCTCCCCACACACACAGGCAGCATGTCGCAGAAGGAAGCTGGTCGGTGGCAAAGGACAGGCGTGCGGGAGGCAGGGCGTGCGGCTGAGATGGCCTCGGCTGAATGGAAGTATGCCCTCGTCCGCAAGTGCCTCTCCACCCTTCGCAAGCAACGGGCGGCGGCAAAGGCCTCACGAAGGAGGAAAGCAAGCCCTGCTGCGTCCGCACCTTCTCGTGCAATAGCTTCTGCGAAGTTGAGCTCGCTCGCAGCATCGTCCTCGGCTCCGGCGTCGGCGTCTGCCACGGAGCCGGCCGCGGGCGTGGCGTCTGCGGCAGCTCGCGCAGCTGAGCTCTCAGCAGCCGGAGTTGACGTCGCGTCGCACCTCTTCTCGCCAACTTTTTGCTCAACAAAGCAGGATGACGGCGGGATGGTGGTGACGTGGTCGGACGACGACGACGAGTTTGACAACTACCACCCCACGGGTGGCTTGCATGCGAGCTCGCACGGCTCAACGCGGGCTTTGTCCGGCTTGCCCTCGCCTGCTACCGTTCTCCGTGCCCAGTGGGCTGCGGCGTTGGGAGGCAAACAATCCCACCTTAATCCGCCGTCTTTTGCAGCCGCTGCTGCGCCCGGCGATGCCCTCGGCCTCGGCATGGACACCGGCATGGGCATGAGCATAGGCATGGGAATGGGCATGCGGGGATACTCGTCCGATGACGACGAGTTTCTCGAGGCGCTTGAGGCGCTTGACCCGACGGTGCCGCCGCCGGGCGTGCCCGACGAAGAGTTTGACGACGTCCTCGCCCTCCTCTACTCGGAGCTCGAGGCCGAGCTCGGCCACCCAGTTGCCGGCGCGGTGTCAGGCGACACCGGTGAGGTCTTCGACCTGCTCGACGAAGTCGAACACGTCGAGCGCGAGGCCGCGCTGGCCGCGCTCTCGACTGAGCGCTCTGTCATCTGCCCGGTCTGCTGCGCCGCCTCGCTTGGCCTTGCCCGCGGCGTCCTCTTTTGCCAGTGTGGCCTGCGGGTCAATCTTGCCCGGCTGCCTGGCATCGTGCTGACACTCGATCAGATCCACGACATGATCAGTGCTGTTGCTACCGAGCACGCTGCACAGTGTGCCGCACCGCCGGCCTTTGACCTCTCTCGCGGACCCGATGGCGCCCAGTCGGTCATCCTCTCATGTCCGCGCTGCAGCCACTATGCTGTTGTGATTTGAGTCGCCCGCCCCAATCCATGGAGCAGTCCTTGGACGATCTGCTACCGTACGTCTTGCCCCCTCTTCCTCTCTCTCTCTCTCTCCTTCTCTCTTGTTTTTTACTCGCTCTCTCGTCCGCCCCTGCGCGAGCTCAGCGAGGCTGTTTCGAAGCCGCGTCGGAGTTATTACTCTCCTTGGTGGTCAAAAACAAGCCCAGATCAAGTGTAGTTGCTTTTTAGGTCGTCGTTGGGGGCAGTCGGACCACCTATCCGACCATCCACCTCTTTCGGCACACCCAGGCGACGTCCATTTCCTCTATCTTCCGTATCCCCACATCGTCCCCCCCTCCCCCTCTCCCTCTCACTCCCAACCACACACACTCACCGCTCCCCACCTTGTTCTTGCGCATTCAGATCCAGACTCGAGACACCATAAACCACCTCCTCGAAACCTTGACCTTGTCTTTACCTCTTCTACAGATACATCCCGCCCTCTTCATCCATCTCCGGACCGGTCGCCGTCCCCACCGTCCCCGCCGACCCCGCCGACCCCGCCGCGGCAGCAACCCCCCGTCGCTGGACTCGGCCGCACCCTGGTCCTTGGCATGGCCCGAGACTCCGATCAGAGCCTCCAATTCTGCGATCTGCGACCTGTACTTTGCGATGACGCCCTCATTCTCAGCCACAGCCTCTTGAAAGTCGACATCATCCGGCTCAGCCTCGAGCGCCTCGACCAGCGCTTCGTTCGACTCGACCAGCTTGCTCACCGCATTCTCCAGCCGTCGAATCTCAAACCGCACCACGTCCACCGACCCGCCCAGCACGCCATTGCTGCTGCTGCTGCTGGCCATTTCGCGTCGTCCGCACCCTCGCCGCGCCAAGCAAAGCCAAGTGTCGACGCCGTCAGCTCGCCGTCGTCGCCAGCTCGCCGTCGCCGCCAGCTCGCCAAGTCGGCCGAGTCGCGCAAGTCGGCGGCCACGGCTAGACATCGATCGATGGCGGCCACCTCATGCTTCGCTTTACTTCTTCTTCTGCTTCTTGGCCGATGGCCCGGCGTTTCCGGCGGGAGGACGCTTGTTCGGGTTGTACTGCCAGGCGTCGACACCCGGGGCAAGGTTGTGCTTGGCCTCGTAGGCGGCGTTGATGTCGGCAGCCCACTGGCGGATGCCGTCCTTAAACTTGCGGAGGAGGCCCTTGTCGTTCATGTAGCGAACCGAGCCAAAGATGTCGCGGCGAGTCCAGGGGCGATCGTGGCGGCCAAAGCACCAGGCGACGCCGACGTAGCCGTTGGGATCGCGCCCGTCGAGCTCGTACTTGTCGTTGGCGGCGCGGAGCCAGGCGTAGGCGGCCTTGGGCGACTCGGTCCACTCGATGACCTTTTTGGACCAGTACATCCGGGCATAGCCATGCATGTCGCCGTAGAGCACCATCTCACGCTGGGCTGCGTTCCAGAACGGATCATGGGTGAGCCCGGCGTCGAGCTCGTCGGCGGTGTAAATCCACTGCCGCGCGTCACCCTCGTGCTCGGCCAGCGTTTTTGCGCCCACTCGGGCACTGCCGTCTCGTACTTGGCATAGCTCTCGCCTTCCATAAAGTGGCAAAAGTTCATCGAGAGCTCGCGCCGGACCACCATCTCCTCCAAAAAGGCATCCGCCGACTCGCGGGTCGTCGACGAGCTGCTCGCCTTCTTGGCCGCCACCACCCGCCGCGCCACCGAGACCGGGCCGATGTGCCCGTAGTGAAGGTAGGCCGAGAGGCCCGAGGTCGAGCCCTGCGACGGCACGTTGCGCTCGGCCGCGTACTGCCGCAGCTTGCCGTCGACAAAGGCGTCGACCGCGTCGCGCCCCGCCCGCCACCCACCGTGCTTACCCGCCACAGGCGCCACACTGACGTCGGCGTTGATGGCCTCCACTCGCTCCGCGATCCATGCCTGTCCGGCCTTGTTCTCCACTTCTCGGGGAAGCTCATCTGCAGGCACCGCCCTCGAGAGCTTCAGCTCGCCCAGCGCGTCGGCGACGCCATCGGGCAGCTGCGTAGACGCGGGCGCGCCGCCGGGGCGAGCAACCAGGCTCAGGCCGTGGTCGCTCGCGTCGTCGTCATCGAGCGGGACGAGATAGTCGTCGCGAAGACGGTTGATCTTGGGCCGGATCGTCCGTGCTGCGTACTCGACCTTGTCGGTCACCACCTCGACCGGGACGACCACGTTAGCCTCGACCTGGACGAGCGGCACGCCTGCATCGTCAAGCTCGGCGGCGAGCTCGGTCCGCCACTGCTCCTGAATGTGGAGGTAGCCAGCATCGGTGACGACCTCGGGCGAGGCAAGGGCGGCGGCGAGCTCGGCCACACGAGCGGGCATGCTCGCATCGGCAGCCTCGCCGTCGGCCGGCAGCAGGACGCAGCCCCCGATGCCTGCGTCGGCGAGGCCGGCGAACGCGTCCAGCACGCCCTCGAGCAGGAACGAGTACGATCGGGCGTTTGCGCCCGGAAACGAGGCCGTGAGGGCAAAGGCGACCACGAGTGGCAGCCGCAGCGCCGCCGCCCGGCGCAGAGCGTAGACCAAGGCAAAGTTGTCCGTCGTCGGCCGCACAGATGCTTGCATCCAATACAGCAGGCCAGTACTGGCCCGTCCTCCACTGCCTCCACCTGCTCCCCCTGCTGCAGTAGTCGTAGTGCCCAGGACCTTGACCCGCGCCGCGTGGACGCTGTCGCCAAAGCCACTTGCGTCAGCCATGTTTGGTTGCGTTTGTTCGGTTGCGGAGGAGTGAAGTGGCTCGTCAGATCAAGCTGACGGCAGTCGGCTTGCGCCGGCAGGCCGCCAGCTGATGCTCCTCCCCATGAGCTGATAATAATACCCGCGGGGTCACGTCCCGCGCCTCACACGCCGTGGACGCACGCCTGCAGCTGCTCGGCCTGAAGCGAGGTGTTGAAGGCGGCAGTGAACGAGGTGATGAGCGGGAGGTGCTGGCGCGGGGCCCGCAGCCCGGCGAGCTGGGGGGAGCTGCAGCCAAACTCGAACCAGTTGGTCACCGGGTAAACGATGGTACATGGCTTGCCGGTGCCGGGCGTCGGGACGCGCTCGGTGATGATCTTGGAGAACGCGCCGACGTTGGCCGAGACCACAATTGGTGAGGTGACGGCCTCGTCGAGCGAGATGAGCGAGGCAAAGAACGAGGCAAAGCCGGCCTCGATGGCGGCACGGCCGACGGTGGTAGCGACGCCGGCGGGGACGTTAAACGTGCCGTTAGGAGCAAAGAGGGCGGCGGCGGCTGCCGCGTCGCGCGCAATCTGAGCCGCCTGGAACGCCGCCATGGCGTCCTTGATGGCGCCGCCGTCGCAGGCGGCGGGTGTGGTGGATTGCGAGGCCGGCGGCGGCGGACAGTCGCCACCGATTCCCTGCGCAAAGCCAAGCACGCTGTGCGGGTCCCATTCGCAGCGGACAGCAACCAGTCGCGGGTAGTTGCTTCCGTAGTACGCAGCCTGCCAGTTTGGTAGCGTGGCATCGATGTAGTTGACGTAGCTCGCGCCGCCAGTGAGCGGGGCGAGCTTGGCTGAGAGCGCATCGGCCCATGCAGAGTTGGCTTGCGTCTCGGCTGGCGAGTTCCACAGCGCCTTGATCTCGTAGATCTGGTTGTAGTCGCGATGGAAAAAGGCGGTGGCAGACTGAGGGACGCGCGCAATCGCGCCGCCGCCGCAGTGCCAGAGCATGACGGTGTGCTTGGACGGCGACGACGCAAAGGCATCGACGAGGATGTCGGCGGCGAGGCCGACGTGGCTTGGTCCGGCCAGCACGCCCGACTTGACCAGCAGCAGCCGGCCGTCGACCCCGGTCTCACCGGTGCCTTGCGCCAGCTCCCACGCCGGGAGCGAAATGACATCCAGCGAGATGTTGGCCGGCTTGGGCAGCGCGGCTAGGATGGCCGGCAGATGCTGGGCGTAGAAGAGGTCGGGATCTTCGTTGGCCATGACCGTAATCTGGAAAACCGGACTACCGTCCGGGGTGTGGCGGAAGAGGCCAGGGAGTGAGACGTCGGGCATGGCGGCGAGGAGCGAGCGGAAGGCCGAGCCGTAGGCGCGGAGGACGCTGGGCGCGACAGAGAGCGGCCAGACCAAGGCGCCGATGACGCCGTCCGGCGAGCCGGTGGCAGCACACGCCGGCGCGCGCCCGAGCTGAAAGGTGAAGTTGTAGGCGACGACAAAGTTGCCACCGCCGCCGCCACGGAGCGCCCAGAACAGGTCGGCCTCGGGCGATCCGGGCGGCGAGTCCTCGCCGACGGTCACCACCTCGCCATCGACCGAAACAACAGTGGCAGCGACAAGCTGATCGGCGGCGAGGCCCAAGCCGCGCGAAGCAAAGGAGATGCCGCCGCCAAGGGTGTAGCCGCCGACCCCGACGGTGGGGCAGCCTCCGCCTGCGATCTGCCAGCACGAGCCGTTGAGCCGGGCGTAGACGTCAACCCAGCGGGCGCCTGCCTGGACCAGATACTTGCCGCTGCCCGCATCGACAAAGTGCGAGGCGGTCGAGGCCGAGAGATCGATGGTCAGCGATGCGAGCGAGTAGCCGACCGCCGAGTGGCCGCCGCTCTTGATGGCGACCTTGAGCCCGTGGGCTTTGGCGTACTTGAGCGCCGTGCCGATGTCCTCGGCACAGGCCACTACAGCCACAACCTGCGGCGCCGTGTAGAACCGCATGTTGTTGATCCGCGTGGCGTTGGCAAAGTCCGGCGAGTCGGGCCACAGCGTCTCTCCGCACGGCAGGACCAGCGGCGGGAGGTCGTGGTCCCTGGTAGCAGCAGCAGCAGCAGCAGTAGCAGTAGCAGTAGCAGCGAGCACACTGACCATGAGCGCACCCACAAGCATGCCGAGCGAAAGATGCATGACCATGGCGAGTGGGGTGGGCGGATGGGGGGGTGGGAAGCGATACCCGTCCGAGCTATGTTGGGTGGTTGCGGCGAGGTGATGGCGATGATAAAGGTGATGGCGATGGCGAGGAAGGTGATGGCGATGGCGATTGCAAAGACGTGGGGTAGCCTAGCCTACAAGGAGCGCCTCTTTGAATCGGCCTTGCCTTCCTCCCCCCTCCCCCCCTCCCCCCCCCCCCCCCCCCCCCCCCTCCCCATACCTTCCCTCTCCCCCTCCCTCATTCCGTCCCCACTTCG